AAAAAAAAAAAAAAAAAAAAAAAAAAAAAAAAAAAAACTAAGATAAAAATCGGCAAATGAAAATGCATACGTCATTTTCGGTGCAACGCCGAGCACGGTGGCCACCGTGGGGGCCGCGGCCTCCGAGTAGGTCAAGTCTGGGTACATTTTGCACCTGCGAAAATCATTCCAAATTAAAAACGTTTCAATTTTATCAACAAGCCAGTCGGGCGAGTTAACTCAACGAGCTGATTATACAACCAAATTCGAGCCTCAAGTAGACAAAAAACATATAAAATTACACAAAATATCAAACAAGCAGCCTAACAACACCGATTTGATCTACGGATCAAATTTCACAGCTAATCGGGCGATATTCGAGCTCAAACGAAATCAATCGGCCGAGAAATTGAAGAGAAATTAAAAGGCACTCAGAAGTGTGTTTAGCGCAATGAACAAGACAAAACGAGAAAATAATAAATGGTTCAGACAGATTTACCCTCCGCAGCCATTGCCGCAGCCACAGTTAGATCCGCAGCCGCAATTTCCTCCACAGCAAGACATTTTTTTTTTTTAGTTTGGTTGAGAGCTGAAAATGGCGATTTAAAATTTAGCTCTGTATGGAATTTCTGATTATCGGATTTGAGTGTGATTTGGGAGTGTTCGCAGTGCGTTGATTTATAGTGGAGTGATTGGAGAGAAGACGGTGATCGACCGTACACGTGGCGGGATCTGGTTGTGTGAGTGGTCTACTTAAGTCGGTCCACGCACTCCACGTATCAACATCCTTTTTTTTTCTTTTGTAAAAATAGAGGAAAAATTAAAGGGAAGACTCAAGTCGATATATTTCACCATATATTATTTACACATCATAAATCTCCTTGTGTATCTACGGTTAAAACCGTCTAGAGAACCATACTGTAACGTGACTCTGGCATTCTCCAAAACAAAAAAGCCAACTTCTTTTGATTTTACAATCTAAAATACACTGATTTTTTTTTTAAATTATATATGTACACAATCTGAAATAAATCTCATAGCATTCATTGCAAAATTAAGAAGCCAAAAAAGGATATCACAAACATGAAATTCTTTATTTATTACAAACGAATATTACAAACATTCATTACATGAATATTACAAAAAGCAAGTATAGATTTTAGAATGTCTAACAATTATATGAGTGATCAGTACTCATATTTTTTTTTTATTTTTTTTAGCAATATGTATGAAGTGTTTCAAATATTGTATCTACAATAAATATAGTATTGTTGAAAAAAGTACATTTATATGATTTTATAAAGTGAAAATAACTTAATAGAAAAAACAAATAAATAAATAAAAACAATAAAATCCTCATCCATTGAAAGTGAAAGTAAAAGGTCGGATAGGACCTGCAAAAGCAGCCGTATGGTCATTTCATATTTTAAAGTTCCATAACTAAAGTGAAACTTTGCAAAATTTATATTTCTTTCGTAAAAATATTAATTAAATTCTGATGCATTGCATGCACGTAAACTTTTCTATTCAATGTAATAATAAAATGTTTCCGGACATTTTTTTTTCAACTGTTATATTAAATGATAAATTCTTATAGCACTCGCATATAAATAAAATTTATTAATGTTTTAAAATTGTATTTTAAATTAGTTTTATTTAAGTTATTAGAATGTTCACGTTGTTTCACATCGTTTATATAGGAAAAATATGCATAATTTATCACATATTTTTTTCCTATTCCCACATGGTATCAGTGTCTGTTCTATTGGGGGATCGTGTGATGACATACTCGTTTACTCAGTCTGTTTCTAGTAGGGGTTGGGCACCCTGCTCCGTATATGACTCACAAGTGAAGGGGCGTATTAGAATATTCACTTTTGAGTTGTCTCACATCGTTTATATATAGAAAATAGACCTAATTTATAAGTCTAATGAGTTACTCATTTTTCCACTAATTGGTTTTGGGATAGAACACTACTTGGGTTTCATATGAGCTTTTATGTGTTGGTGCGCTTCATCTGCATGGGACTGGTGAGCTTTTCCTGTGTTAGCGCGCTTCATATTTCCTCGTTTCTTACACGATTGAATGAAAAATGTATTCGTGATGATGTGATTATTTTGTCCATCTGCCATTCATCCAATTGAATGAACATAAATTGAAAAACTAATTTGGATCGATTATCGTGATGAAATATTGTGATACTCTAAAAAAAAGATATTTTATTATAAAATAATAAGATTGTACTAGTACAATACCTGTGTGATACACGAGTGATTAAAAAAAAATGATGTATAAAAGATAGAACTGCAATATTTTATATAATATTATAAAAAATAATGATAAAAAATAAACAATAAAATAAAAACAGAAATTGTAATATTATATTGCAAATTTTGAAATAATATTGTTCCCATTATTTCGAAATAATGAAATCAAATAATAGTATTCCCACCATTATCGCAAGTGTGATTAGTGGGAAATCAAGGATGCTGTGCGAAATTCATTTTCTATAAAATTCAAATGGAAAAATATCAATAGTTAATTGAAGGAAGCAAATTAAAAGTCAGGGATATATTAGTCATTTAGTGCAGCACTTGTAAAATTACAAAGAATTAAAGGGTATATTAGTACAAGTGATATTAAAATACCTAAGTTAGGTAAATAATATTTATTGAATGTCCGAACCTAGATTATTCATTATTAAGAACATCCAGAATGCTTTGGGTTCAACCACAAAAAATTATATGTCATCTAAGATATAGACTCAGTCTAAAAAAATATATCTTCCAATGCAAATAAATATAGATTGGGTCCTGCTGATGTGACAGCCAGAAAAAGGGACCTGGTCTACACTTAAGTCTATTTTAGACTTAAGTATAGACCTAGTCTCCTTGCATTGAAGTGAATTTTATCAATTTTACATAGTTTTATCGATGTTATCAAAGACTTGAGTTTGTTTACATGCCAAATAGACAAAACTAGACCAAATGCATTGTAGATGCTCTAATATATGAATATTATTTGTCTAAACCTAATTACGAAGCTTGATTTTTCGCCAAGTAGGATTCCAAAATACCAGAAGTAACCACGTAGGCTCAACATTTTTAGACAGACCTAATGAGTAGACTACCACATTTTATATACTTCCAAATGTAATCTCACACTCTAAAAATAACATAAGCAACTTATAATGTAATGCATTTTTATTGAAATAAATGATGGACCGACCCACTTCGCGGGTATGACCAGTTCATACCGGTCGTTATACCGGACGAGCCAATGGTACGCGGTTCAACCTGTTCAACCGATTTTACCGTCTATTTTACCATTAATAAATATTAAATTAATTTGTTATTACAATATATATAATGTTCAAAACTAACTTTAATTAATTCTAAAATTAATTAACATCTAATAACAATGTAAATATATTAAAATGAAGTGTAAAATTTTCAATTTATATAAAAAAAATTAATAAAAATACATTAAAAATATTTCTTCTTAAAATTTTTTGGCATAAACCGGTATTTTGGCCGATAAAACTGGTATTCTCTGGTATGAAACCGGTATAAAATGGTATTTTGGCAAAAACGGTATTTAGAGTGTAACCTTTCAAGCTCTTTCTCATAGCGAAGAATAAGCTCCTTGTACTTCATCTTATCCTCGATAGGCGAGAAAATAGATGATTGTAAACAATTTCTCACTCAGAGACGCAGCAAGTGGATAGTAATACACTGTGTGTGACGGAGTAAGGGCCCTTCTCACCTCCTATGAGTCGTCCGGGGCGATAAGCTGGTGTAATGCTTGTGATAGGTTGAGCTAAAGCCCTTTAATGTGTTCCGGCCAAACACCGGGAAATAATCATTCCTAACGTACCGGTCGGACCACCGCTATCCGGTATTACGGGTAATACCGGCCGGTACAGTATTTAAAACATTGGTTATGACGCCTCATACATCAATTTTTTATTAGCTAAATATAAAATAGTATATCTTCCTATTACTTGACTAATTTAAAAATAATTTAAATATCCATAAGATTCCATTATTTTCTTTTATTATTTATGTATGCCACCATATGGGATGTTGAGCAATATGAAAGCTCATCGAATAAACTCTCCTATCAAGCATTTGAAGTGAATTCATTGCTACCATCCATGCAAACACTAAAGAATTATGGAAATAGGAAAAGGAAGATGCTACTTTTTCTTTTATCTTATATCTTTTTTTTTTTTGTATATATAATTTTATTAGCATGGGTGACATGTAGGTGGATTGGGAATCTATCTCAATAATGGTGAATAGTAACCTTTATTTGTTTATAAAAAGGTTAATTGCTAAATAAGCCTTAAACTTTTTACGTTTGATAATTTTATCCCAAACTTTTGGGTAATTGCAATATAATATCGACCTCAATTTACTTATTGCAAGTCGAACTTAAAACCGGTTGGACCTTCAAAAAACTGGTCGATTTGAAGGTGGTTCGAACAGATCGGAGCTCATATTTGCTTGTTCACTCTAGATCTAGGAGGAGAATCATCACCGGTAGCTTACATTGACGTGGAATTTTTGGCTTTTATGCGTTGATATACATTAAATACGTGGAAATTGTCAACTTGCTACGTGGATGACATA